AATAATTAATGTATGTACAAAAAAATTGCTTAAACCACATTTTTGCATACTTCACGCTTCTGTCACTTCATTCAATTTAAACAGCAAAATGTACCAAAAAAGCTTCGCTTACACGCATACATATCTTTCACAATTTGCCTTAACACGCACACACACTTAACTATGCAGAAAAATATTTTTTATTGTTTTTGTTTATTTTTTCTTAATTTCGTTTTAGATAAACCAGATCGAATACGCGGTGTAAAATTAGTTGAAATAGCACACAGACTAAAAATAAAACCAAAAAGAAAAAACAAGTATTTAAAAATAAAATAAACTGAAGCTAAAATACAACAATGTGTATTAAGAACAAAAAACAACAAATGAAACACTTAACATTTTGATAAAAAAAAAACCGTTAACTACAAGTTTATTGCAACTAGTGCAATTATATATAATATATTTTTGTAAGGAAACACATACACACAATTACATAATACTGTTATGAATGTAGTATGTATGTATGTATGTATGTTTCATAAACTCAATATGTACATATAATATAAATGGGCTTAATTAGCACTTGTGATTCACATTCTAAATGAATATTACAAATAATTACTACTTGTTTAAGGCATTTTAAATGAATTTTTGTCTTGAATGTAACGAAAGCATTTATACGCTAACATAAGTGAGTATATTTTTGAGTGGTTTTTTGTGCTTCCAGCCCCTCTGACGCTTGTCTCCCACTTTTAATTTAAACACTTTAGTGCGCTATTAACACTTCCTAACTCGCTTACTAGCCGTTTCCCTTATGTTATTTTGAACAATAAGCTAACGCACACAAAAATCGGCACTCAAACAGCTTACTAACACACGTCATAACCTATTTAACAGTGTCTAGAGGAAGCTTGCTCTGTCTCCTTTTTTCCAAATTGCGCTTTATACCTACATTAATACTAATATAACCAAACTATTAAACTAATATTTTTCAAAACGTTTTCAAATTCAATTAAACTCATCTTTGTATGTTTGCACCTTTTCTGCTTAATTTTTTCCGCTCAAAACAGAACACTGACAATGGCAGCAACGCTAAAAGTGCAAGTTCTAACTCACCGACACTGCTCGATCGCCGGCGTTTCATAGTCAAGGCCATCCCCGTTGAGGTGAAACCGGATGATAGCACACGTTATTCTGTCTAAAACTGCAAAGAAAGCGCAAAGCTAAAAAAAATAAAGGAAAGAAAGAAAATTGAAGAGGAGATAAATAAGGAAATAATGGGAAAGAATTGAAATAGAGGAAAAAAGCAAGTAAAGAGAGGATAAAGGAGACGACAAAAAAAGAAAAAACAACAAGTGTGAGGCAGTAGTACGAGTATGAATTTAATGCATGTTCTAGTGTAAATAAAATAAAAATAATTTAATATTCAGTATTCGTTAATTGCAAGTTTTTAGGTTTAAAAAATACTATACGCATGTTTCTACCACCTACTTACATACATTTTTTATGTGCATATGTATAAATGTAAATTGATATACAGTATTGTGCAAGATATAAGCAACTGGCGAGATCATAATTATTGTGTTGCTTTATTTTCGGAAGAAATATAAATAATTTAATTAGTATTTACTAAAATCATTAATATAAATTAAATTTATAATTTTTTTCTTTAATTAATTTTCAAAAAATCTAAAAATGTTAGTTTTTCCGATAGCACCATAACCTTTTTAAGGGGTCATATACATTTACAAGGGCGAAAAAAGCAATTTTCTCAGAATTTTTTCTGAAAAATTTTTAAATTCATTGATGCAAAAATTTGTACACATATTATGGTATCTCCTAACTGTATTTTAAGACATAGTATTACTAGCTGCTGTCAAAAAATACGTTTGCGGTGACTACTATAACGCTGAAGTGGATCCTCTGAAATTAAAAAAAAACCAAGATTTCGTTAAAGCAATATCAAATCTAGTCATAAATCGAAAGAATAAGAAAAATAAAACTTTATGACAAAAAATGGTTTCTAAAAAAGATACCATGGAAACAAAACAAAATTTTACATTAAATAATCATTTCAAAAGCATCGATTTCAAAGAAATTAGAAAAACAATTTCAAATGCTAATCATTAAGCGGCCCAGTTGCACATGCCTTGCACAGTACTGTATTGTTTGTAAAGCCGTAAAATATCTGTGGAATGTCACAAATATGTAACTAATCGAAGGATTTCTCAAATACTTGTCGAAAGCACATTATTGAATTAAATAGATTGCAAAAAAAATTATGTAAGTTTTTTTCCAAACGGCCGTTAACTTATGTACGTACTTATACAACTAAGAAACTTACAAAATGTTTTTAAAAATATAAATTATTTATAAATTATAAGTAGAAAGTAGTTTCATTTCAAATTACCTTCATGCGTTTACTTTTACAGGTTCTACAGATGAACTGAAGAAGCTGGAAATCAAAAATGATTTTTCCCATATTTAATTTTTTTTTTCAAAATGCTTTCAAAAATGATTTTTCCAATTTTTTTTTCCGAATGCTTTAAAAAAATTTTAAATAAATTAAAAAAATGGCCGGCCGGCTGCTAACAACGTTTCTTTGTACTTTTTAATGAGCTGCTAGCTAGTGACTTCAGGATTTTGGGAGAGCTGTCAAATGTTACACCTAAATTTCCTAGGATCGTTAACAAACGGTACTTCAACGCCATCGACATTAATGTTAAGGTCTACTAGTCTGTACTCCTTCATCCAATTCGTGAATATAATCGCTATGAATTTATTAGGGGTAGGCTCTTAGCAGCGAGGACACGATAAATGTCGCAGAGATAACCGTTTACCTTTCAGCACATGCCATCGATTCCAATACTCTTCGTGAATACCGTGCAATCATCAGCGTATGTGGTGATGGAAATTCCCTTTGGTATTTGAACGAGTTTCGAAATATAGAAATGAAATTTAACGGGGAGAGGACACCACCCAGCGCAACCACCTGTTGGAGTTTTCAGATCGAAACAGTAGGGATGATTGACGACCACTCATGCAATTCATAGTCCACCTGTTCAACCCTGGAGGGAGCGTGGATTGTTCAATATGCTCAAGTAGCGTTGTGTGGTTGACTGTATCAAAGGGTTTTGACAAGACCAACGCTACAAATATCGCCCTTTCACAGGGTGGTTTCCATGAATTCTTCCAGGGTCCATGAATTCTGTGGGCGGTTTTGACGAACGACTCCTACTATTACTTCCTTAACACTTTTATGGTGAATATTAGCTTTCTCTGCAAAAAATTCTCAAACCTTCCTCTCAACTCATTTATTATTCTTTTTCTACATACAAAATTCAGCGTATGAGCATAAGTAATACATTTCTTGTTTAATGTAAGATTAAAATTTTAAACAATTTACACCGAAATACAGCATTACAGCAACTTTTGTCGATTTGCAATGCAAAATGTTGTAAGAGATAAATATGCAATTCAATAATATAAGTCACTTCAATGTGATCGGTTTTTCAGAGTCCCTTAAATCAGTCAATTAATTTACTAATTGGCTTAATTAAGGGGCTGTCTGAAACACTTTTCAAGTATATACTTATGTATAATTTATTGTAAATTAAGTTAACATTTATTTAAACATCTAGTAGCAAATAAATGAGACCACTATATAAGTTGCAAATGGCAATGAAAAAAATGTAGAAAATATGCAAACCGAGAAATTACTTTCGAAAGACTAAAGTATATAAATAGATATATAAATATAGAAAAAAAAGAGTGCCAAAATAATAAGCCTCTCGAATGATTACTTAAACTAAAATTAATTAGTTTTACATAGTAAATGAGTTTGCTAAAATACATAGTGCTGTTGGGAGTAAGGAAGGACATTAAAAATCAATTTTGAAAATTCATAATGCATATAATTAGTGAAATACAGATCTTAATGCTCTATGTTTTACAACAGCAATATCTTTATATGAAATTTTTCTTATTTTGATAATTTGGAAAATTAAATTTTACCAAGATTTTTTCTGATGAAATTAGTTTCCTAAAAAAAATTATAGGAAATAATTAATTTTATTAGGAAATCTGAAAACAAAAACTAATTTGCAAAAAATTTTCAAAATTAAAGAATTAATGTATTTTTATAGAATTGGTGTATAACCTTCAATAGCCTCCACTCCTAACAGCAGTAGATATTTTTATGCGTTGAAAAGAATTCCGAATGTGACAAAATTTTCTATTAAAAATTTATAAAAGTTAAAGTTAAAAAAAAATAGAAA